TATATATATATGTATATATACATATATACGATGAAGTTTTATTCAGCCATAGGAAAAATAAAATCATGTCCCTTACAGGAAAATGGATGGAAATCAAAAGGAGATCAGTAAGGGGTGGAAAGTAGAGAGGGAGGGGGGAAGCACTGGAAATTAGTATTGGCCAACTTATATTTTTATACTGTGTATTCTGTGCCTGTACAAGCATGTTACAAAAATCCCATCAGTATGTACAACTATAATGCACCAATAAAAAATGGGAAAAAAATAAAAATAAAAGCCCAAATCATGTCAAAGGGGATACAGAGAAAAGTAAGGTTCACCCCCACCCATGTCCATCCCTAGTCTAAGGAACTCGTTTGAGGAGGTGTCAACAGCCAGAGATCTCTTACACACAAACAGATTTAGGTCTACATCTTGTTTAACACAAATGCTCATCTAGTGAACATATTGTTCTCTACCTTGTTTTTTTTTTCACTTGATACATCTGAGAGATTGGCCCAAATCTGTACATATGGATTCTCCTTATTCTTTTTGATGGTGCAGAATATTTTGCCGTATAGATGTAACCATAATTTATTCAGCCAGTCCTATTTGCAGATACGGAGCTGTGTTCCAATTTGGTGCCATAAAAGCTGGTGTTGCAGCAAGCCACCTTGCAAACCCAACCTGGCACACACAGGGTTCACTGAGGCCACCAAGTCAACTGATGTGCCAAGAAGTTATCTGAATACCTCTTCTTTGAGGGATAAGGAAACTATGCCCAAAGAGGATTAGCAACATATCCAGTGGCGCTCAGCTAATCAAAAACAGAGCAGAATAAGAAACTCAGGATTTCCCACTCCTGGAATTATTTTAATTTATTTAAAAAGTCATTCCAACTCTCCATTTTACACATTGGAAACTGAGGTCCTTAGAGATAGAGCATATCCCCTCAGATCCTACAGGTGGTGGTTCTCAGGCTTCAGTAAGAATGGAGGTGACATTGCTAAAACATGGTACTGGGCCCACCCTGAACTCCTGGCTCCACGCCTCTGGGCCAGGACCTGAGAATTTGCATTTTAACACATTCCCAAGTGATGCTGATACTGCTGGACCACATGTCAAGGACCACTGTCCTTAAGGTTCATGATATTGTTTTAGGCGATGCAGGGGAGGCCACCTCCCCTCCTTTCTGCCCATCCAAGATCAAGACAGAGCAGCTCTAGTTTTTTCTGTTGTATGAACAAGATTAGCTTTCATTTTTATATTGATGTTGAACTGCTTATGTGTTGTTTGGAGGAGTCAGGCCTGGTGGCACATGCCTATAGTCCCAGGTGCTCCGGAGGCTAAGGTAGATAGATCCCCTAAACCTGGAAGTTCAAAATCAGCCTGGACAATGTAGCAAGATCCTTCTCAAAAAGGAAAGAAAAATAGATAATAGATAATAGATAGAATAAATAGATAGATATAAATAATAGAAATATATGATGGAGGGTCAACCCATCTCCTCACCACTAGACACACCACATAATCAGAGTGAGAATCAGTGAGGAGGGAGGTCACCCAGCTCAGGCATGTCACCAGACAGGTGGCATGGCAGCTTTCCAACAGAACCTCACTGTTAGCTCCCCCCCTCTCCCCTGAAACCCTAGCTGACTCACAGACTCCCTAATAGCTGGACTCTACCTTGATTGACCTTTTTGACTAGCTGCCTTCACAAGGAGGACTGGGCCGAGCCATCTCTATCCCCTCGCCTCTCTCCCTTCCCCAGAACTCCATTACCCATCCCCTGACCTGGGCCTCAGTTCTCAGGAGTCCAAGTCCCTTCCTCAGTGCACCAGTCAGCTCAGATACATGCCAGGTGAGGTTTCCACATCATCGTGACCCAGGGTGGGGATGCTTGGTGCCCTCTCCCCACCCCCATCATTTGTCCTTGCCTCACATCCCTCTCTGGCTGCCCCACGTCTGAGTTCTCACCATGGACGATCGTACAGCTTGAGTACTCAGAAGACAGAGCCCTCCTCCTCTCTGGAAAATCAATAAAGGCCTGACCCTGTTTAAATTTTCCTTACTCCTTTTTGCAGCTAGAGCCTAGCATGTCACCAAGGAAGAGCCAATCAGATATCCAGGACTTCTAAGTGACACAGAGAGACAGAGTCAGAAGAGAACACACCCCAGAGGAAGAGGCAGCACCCATGTTCCCAGGGCTTGTAGGTGGGGTCCTAGGCACACACCCAGTGATAAAGGAGGTAACATGAGCTCCATGTGAGCCCTGCTATGGCACAGCTGAGGCTCTGGTCCTACGGCCCAGCCACCCACTTCCTGGCTCCCCAGCTCTCGCGCTGACGCTCTCAGCTGTCATATTTCCTTCACAAATTCCCTTGCTATTTAAGTCAGCTAGAGCCAATATCTGTACTTTCTCCCCCATGTCATCAAAGAAATTGAGCCATCTGCTATGGTGTGAATAGGGCTTGTCCCCACCTAGATTCACATGAAAGCAAGGTCCCCACTAGGAGTGTTGAGAAGGTGGTTGGGGTCTGAAGTCTCCACCCTCAGGAAGGGAAGAGTTAGTAGCTCCTGAGAAAAGATGTTTGAAAGTGAGTCATCTCCTTTGAGCTCTCCTTCTCTTTCATAGGTGTTGGGAGTTTCCCTGAGAACTCCCCGGGCCTTTCAAACATGGCGGTGGGCAAATTGCCAGTGGGCAGCTAGAACTCTCTGGGCCTTTCAGATAAGGAGCCCCTAATGCAACATGGCGGCGGGCAAGTTGCCAGTGGGCGGATAACAAGTTGTTTTGAAAATTTTCTAATTGGTCCTCCCGTCTTCTGCGCTCGTGGACAGTTCGTGCCCCCCATGAATCTTATGCAGGGCGGACGTGCATGCACCGTAGGTGATGACCTGACCTTTACTATGATTGGCCCCGGGAGCTTCCTGGTTTAAGATAACTGACTCTCACTTTCTATATAAGCTAGAACCAGCTTGCAGTAAAGTGCTTCATCTTTGTCACTGCTATCTGTGTGTGTGCATTTTAATCTCCGACGACGAACCTTGGCCTTTCAATAGGCACCCACTTCCCTTTCTTCTTTTCTGCCATGTGTGGAACAGCATGTGACCCTCAACAGAAGCCAAGCAAATGTTTGTAACCTGCTTTCAGAATCATGAGTCCAATTAAGCCTTTTTTCTTTAAAAATTACCCAGCCTAAAGTACTCTCTTCTAACAACAGAAAATGGACTAAGATACTGTCCCTGAAGGATTCTGACCTTCATTTTAGCTTATTGGTAATAGGAGCAATTCCTTACCCTCAAACACCAATTATGTCCTTTTCCCATCCACTACCCAGTCTCATTGTTACAACCCACAGGTGAGCAGGTAGGACAGGTATTTGTTGTTGGCAAGTAGGGTTGATAGAAGCCAAGGGAGAGGAAAGCATGAAAACTGGAACTCAGGACCCTTGAGGGTAGTTTTGATTACCATTACTATTAACAATATTAAAAGCCACCATTGATTAGGAGTTGGCTATTCACAAGCAATGCACTAAACACTTCATATATATCATGCAATTAATTAATGATCTCCATGCTACTAATTAGAAAGCAAGTTCAGAAAGGTTATCAAATGTCCCCAAGGGCATCAACCTGCCAAGTACAGAGCAAGGATTTCAGTCCAGGTCTTTCTGAATCCAAAGCCAGAATTCTTAGTCATTGTATTAAATAGCTTCCTGCTGTTGGCGCCTGCCTCACTCCCTGGACAAGCCCACTAAGTCCCTCGAAGCTCCAGGGTGGACTGCTCTAACTGCAACACTACAGTTGAGATCCTCCAGGCTCTGGATGTCAAGTTCCTCCAACACATGGTCCTCCTGAGCCATGTTGTCTCCTGGTGAAGGAATCTGTCTAGAAGGTCTCCAGCTCCCGGGCCACCTGGGCAGATAGGCTCAGAGTGAATGCTGTGCCCTGGTTTGTATCCTCATTTCTAGTTAAGTCCTCTCTGCTGCTATCTGGGCTACCTAGGAGGCAGAGCGGGTGGCTGGACAGGTGCCTTGTTACTAACTGTGGATGCAGATTCACTTCACATCCTGATTGGGAAGGATTCTAATCACAAAGCCCCAGGAAGCAAGTTGGACCTGCCCATTACTGAGCCTTGCCTTGCCTTGCCCCTGGGACAGCACTCAACAAAGGTGGAGCTGGTCAAAGAAAGGGAGTACCTCTGGCCAGTCCAGTCTTGAAAGGATTGGCAGCCCTGGGGCACAGCAAGGGGTGGACTTGGATTCTGGATGGCTCAGTCTGATGACCAAACTGCTGACTCTGCCCTTTCCCAGTGCTCTAAGGAGGCGGAGCCACACCCACCTCCAACCCAGAGGGACCAATTACAACATTTACAGCCCAACCCAGGAGGGGCCGTGCCTGCTGGACTCCATCTTGCCGTTTGCTGAAGGAGCGCTGACGACGTTACACAGATTAATACTCCACTGAGCAAATTAATCCTTGGGATTTCACTCACTACCTGTGGCTTATAAATTTTAATTGGCTCTAATCTGCCACCTGAATTGATGTGAGAGTGTGGCGATGCGAGGGAAAACATCAGAGACAGCGCCAGACACACGTGTAGCTTCTAAAGCAGGGGGCGGGGCGGGGTAGCCCAGGTGTCAAAGGGGTTAGGGGAAAAGAGGACATCTTTTTGGTGGCCGTCCCCAGTATTTCATTTTCATTCAAGGGGTTGGGAGAAGAATAAAACGGCAGCCTTTGGTCGCCTCCTCTCTGCTTGTCCATCATTCCAGTCCCATGTTCATTGGACAAGCTGATTGGACACTTGCTAGGTTCCTTGTCCTGCGCTGGGTGATGGGGAGTCCGTGTGTTTAGAGATCACAGTGCAAGAGACAGAACTCAAACTACCTGGTGTAAAACAGAGGCCTGGGGTCTTCTTCTCTCTCTCAGTTGGCCACACCTTCACCAGTGCCCAGCGACCAAGCCCAGGCTTGGCCATGTGCGGAATTACCACTGAGCTGAAGTTCAGATCCTCGCTCTACCACGTGGTAAGCCCACCTGGTGTCCCATATACACGAACATCCCTGGAGGCCTCTGAAAAGAATGTGTTTGTCATTTTACAGAAGTGTGGGTTTGACTCTTATTCTGGAAAACTGGTATGACAGGGCAGTGGTGACTCCTGATTCCTGAGCCAGCCTGCCACGCAGTGCGGCATCTCAACACCTACACATCATTCTCTAGTCATTTGTGAAATAAAGTGATTTTTTTCCAATAGGAAAACAACTTTGCGGGGGCGGGGGAGGGGGAACCTCCATCAGATGCCAGCCAAAAAAGAGCTCTGTGGAAGTAGCATATGTGAATTTAGGTACAAATTGAGATCGCAGGAGTCTGGTACAGTGGTTCTCAAACCATGATTCCCTAGACTGAAGCAGTGGCATCCTCTGGAGCCCCGTCATATGGACCAATTGTCAACCCTTCTCGTACCTGCTGAGTCAGAAACTGTGGGAGCAGGGCACACTCCTGTAATCCCAGTGCTCAGGAGATGGAGGCAGGAGGATGGCAAGTTTCCCAGTGCTCTAAGGAGGCGGAGCCACAGCCACCCCCAACCCAGAGGGACCAATTACAACATTTACAGCCCAACCCTTAACAAGATCCTCAGAAACTCCGTTTTTAAAAAGGCTAGGGATATGGGTCAGTGCTAAAGCACCCCTGGGTTCAGTCCCCAGGAAGGAGGGGAGGGAAGGAAGGGAGGGAGGGAGGGAGGGAAAGGAAGGAAAGAATGAGGGAGGAAAGGGGGATGGAGCCAAGGAGAGGGAAGGGGAGGAGAAGGGAAGGGAGGGGAGGGGAGGGGAGGGGAAGAAATTGCGGGGCAGTACTCAGTGTTCTAACAACCCCCTCAGGTGGTTCTGATTCCCTGGTGCACATTCTGCATCCAAAGATTCACCAACCTTGAATAGAAAATATTTAAAAAAAAAAAAAAAAAAAGTGTACTGACCACATGCTGACTTCTGTTTCTCATTGTTATTCCCTAAATAACACAGTAGAACATCCACACAGTATTTGGTATTATAAGTAATCCAGGGATGATTTCAAGTGTATGGGAAGATGTGTGTAGGTTATAGGCAAATTCTACACCATTTTATATGAGGGACTTGAGCATTTTGGTATCCAAGGGGGATCCTGGGACGCATCCCCCACGGACACAGGAACAACCATATTCATGCAGAATCCCCATCAGCGGGGACCCTCCCTCCTCAGCCTTCCACAGCCAGGCCCTGGCCCAGTGCAATGGGCTTTCCAAAGTCCCTTATGAGGGCACTGAGTGAGTGAAGAACACACGCATGAGTGAGTGAAAAGAAAGTCAGAACCAAACAGAGAGGACTTGAACATGAGATCCAAAAGGGGCTCAGAAAGCTCCTGAGGCGTTCATTCAGACCCTTGATTCAATGCAGAGCGGGGGAAGAGTGTGACAGGACAGTGCAGGTGGTGAAGGGCCCCTCCCTAACTCAGGCCCCCACTCCCACCCCATGGCCACCCTGCCCTGAGACCCTGGGGGCAACCTCTTGTAGCTCAGTCTCTCTGACCTGAGTCCCAGGTGAAAACTTCTGTCCAAATGACTTCCTCAAACCCCAGAAGGGAGCACTTGGTCCTAAATGGTCTGTGTAGGACCCATAAATTAATTACTTAATATCATTTACAGAAGGCCAGTTGGTCTTGAGTTGAATGGGGCTAATGCTGTTCTTGGCATCCAACTTAAAGATTCAAGGCGCCAGAAATACAAAGGAAGGCTTCTTTCAACTTCCAGACTAGGGCTGCTGAATAAAACTGGGAGGATGGGGGATGGGGAGGGGGGCTATTCAAGGAAAGAATAAAGGTTTCTTTGGTGAAGAAATATTAATCTCAATATTCACATGGCGTTAAAATATATGTTTGAGATCCCCAGAATGAGATGTTCATAAATAGATAAGCTCTAAGTGGATGATTTTTTAGCCTTGATTTTCCTTTACTGAAATATAATTAACACTTCCTGAAACCAGCTAGCTTGGGATAATTTAGTTCA